GATGCTGATAGGATTCACCTGTGTGTAATTATAAATAGGATTCCCTAGCCTCAACTGTGATCCTGTTGTGTTTTAAAATAAGTCCCCTGAGAAGCAAGTCGGATTTCATTACCAGCAAGAGCCAGGAGAGGAACACATACTTTATAGTCTTGAGATCCCGTGCAATGAACCTTCTGAACCCAGAAGAACACTATGCTATCGTGGGCGGGCGGGCGGCAGAACCGGGAGCCAGAGCATGGAATGAACAGAAGGTGGTCATCCCAGCTCACGGAACAAGTAGAACTGAACACTTGTGGGTGGGGGGCTGGCTTGTGGAGTGGCATCCTCTGGGCACTTAATGCGGGGAGCGAACTGGGCATGAGCTGAATGCCTTTGGGTTGAGGCTTACAGCAGCGCAATATGGGTTGCCCCTTGGGGGGGCCTTGGTTAGCAAACCCAAATGAGCTTTATAACGTCCTGAGCAAGACGGTCCCAAGCCTTTCTCACTGGCATTACAACCTGCAACTTCCTTACTAAGCCCTTTAATTACGAGTATTGTCTGATTTCTGGGTAGCCACTGCAACAGAGATTAGAACCTAGATATAATGTAGAGCGTACTAAATAACCTACCAACACCTAGAATAGTAAGCTCATATTTAGTAAATGGATAAATGAACATCAGAACTCTTAAGAAAGTATGCATTGAAGAGGAGGTGCTCGAATTGGTCGATTGAAACTAGTCTGACTCCCTCACTGCCATCAAGTCACTCCTATCCATAGCTTTGGGTTTCTGAGTGTAAATCTTTACAGGAGTAAAAAGCCTCATCTTTCACCCGTGGAGCTGCTGGTGCTTTAAAATGGCTGACTTTGCGGTTAGCAGCCAAATTATAACCCACTGTTAGTTGAAAACGTCAATGCTCCTAAAACAAAGCATCTTTAACACGAATGAGACAACTGAAAGAAATCTGTGAAGTTCTACAGAATGCATATCCTCCTCTTACCTCAAGAGGTCAGCAGCGGCTCAAGTGCTGCAGACTACCACAGAGTATGGCATTTCAGCCTTCATATAAGCGAAAGGATGCAATTGTAAAATGGTAGCAACAATTGAAATTAAACACACAGATAAATCATAGCATACAAGGGCAATGAATGTACAAATGTGCTTCACACAATTGATGTATGGATTGTGGTAAGAGTTGTATGAGCCCCTAATAAAATGATTTTTAAAAATCTATAAAGCACACAAAAAACAAACATAACATATATGCAATCCAATTTGAAGGCTGCCAATTTAGGATGCATCTTGAATACAAATTTCAAACATTACAACCTGATGTGTTTGTCCTAATATGCCCATTGTAGGAAACGCTGATTTTAGATAATCCTACTGCATAGAGCTGCACTCGTTGCTTCGTAGTGTCTTTAATCAAATAAATCAATGAGACTTACTCCTGCTATCATTGGGATCAGTGGTGTGCTAATTATGATCCCCAACCCAGCATAATAAAGCCTTGAAACTTGTAATTCACTGGGTCCCATCCAAGTCCTACCGAGTGAGTCAAACACTCTGGAATAGGGCCTAGTGATGTCGGTTGCCAAGCCCTCAAAGTGCCTGATGCATGCATGCTAAACTTTGAGGACCCATGCTTTTCTCATCCATACTCCCGACAGACTTTACAGCCGGACAAAGGAGACCATGTTTTGAATGGTGCTATGGACAGGGAAAATTCCGTCGTGTCTTACAGCGGCGGGGCTCAGACCAGCTTCGTTCATTTGGCGGCCTCTTTGTAAATGAGATTGGCCTCAAAGAGCTTTCAAATTAAAATTGTACAGTGCTCATGCTACATACAGGAGCTCTAGTGGTGTAGTGGTAACACAGGGCCTGGGATACGCATGGTCAGCAGTTGGTCTGTGGGAGAAAAGCTGGGCTTTCAATTGCCATAAGTTACCGTCTCGGAAACCCTCAGGAGGTCGCTGAGTCAGCGTGACTCCATGGCAGGCGTCTTTGTTTTGTTTGGGGTTTCGAGAGCACTACATACCCTCAGGAGGTTGTTGATGACTTTTCACAAAGTCAGCCCCACACAAGTGATTGAGTTTCCCTTTGGTCCCATCATTGCACAGGAGAACTGACAGCTCCGGGGAGAAGTAGTGTTCCATTTCTCTCAGCTTCAGGGCCCCGACACCATTAGCACAGTCAACCTTCAGTGTTCTACATCCATCTCCAGTGTAGGAAGCCTTCAAAGGAAAGATGCACAAACATTTCAAGTTACAAAAAGTGAAGTGTATGTTTTTATATACATATATGTATTGAAGTATTTGTATCCAAAAACCAAGCCAATTGCCATCAAGTGGTTTTCGATTCAGAGAGACACTACAGTGCTGAGTAGAACTGCTCTATGGAGATGCCACAAGGCTGTGCTGTAAATCTTAATGCCAGAGGACTGTTCTCCCAGGGAGCAGCTGCTAGGGTGAACTGCTGATGTTTCAGTTAGCAGACGAGCATTTTAACCACTGTCTCATCACCAGAGACCTTTCATACATGAGAGGGCTTCAAAAGTTTATGGGAAGTTGTTCATCTTTTATTTCATTTTCCAGAAACTGGAAGTAACTCAAGCTCCGATAGCATTAGAGGAACTCAGTATATAACAGAAGCCGCCTTGGCGGTGCTGTGGGCACTAGGATGCAAACATCAAACTCACCCTCCACTCCACCAGACAATGATGAGGCTACCTGTTCCCACAAAGATCTACAGTTGCAGAACCCTATATGGAGTCGATATGAGTGGGAGTCGATGGGATGGCAGGGGGTTTTGATGTATGGAACGAGTGGTACAATCAGTCAAGGCAGTGTACTTCCAATAAATCCGCCATTTGCTAAAGAGAAACCAGAGAGTCTAAGAGTAAGCAACATCGTGGCATATAGTTTGACTGGTACACGGGGTGCGGGGGGGTGGGGGGTGGGGGTGGTGGTGAGAGTGGGCTCAAGGGTCACAGGTCCAGACATGAAAATACTAAAACAAAAATTAAAACACACCCAAATTTTAAAATACTTTGGATACTGGGAAGCGTTGACACTGCACAACTTATAAAAATGGAACGTTATCAAAATTGAGTCTTAATTAGTCAGGGTCCTTTGAAAAAGCTATCAGGATCTGTACTGCCTAACAGCTCAAATGTGGAAATAAATACATAGATGAATCAGCAGTGATAACATTTCTCATTCCCTAACCACATACCTTGGCTTTATCAGGTGGCTTCATAACGCTCATGTGAAAATGAAATTCAAAGATAATTTTTCTATGAACGTTTTGAAGCCCCCTCATATTCTTAGCATATAAGGGTAATTCAAAAATAGAAAGTACAAACTCATATAGAAATCTTTATTAAACAAAAATAAAAATGTGAAACTGTCTCCCAACATATCTCCTCAGCTAGGACTGTATGTTTTTAAAGACAGTGTTTCCATCTCTGTATCTGTTCCCTGAAGAATTCTGCACTCTTCAATTTATACCGTTAAGTTTTCTTGCAACTTCCTAAGTCCCTGTGCTCATTCTGACCTTTGAGCAAATCTAACAAGATCCTTTTAGAATTCCTCTTGCCCACCTCCCCACCCTGCAGAAGGAAAAACAAACAAAAACCACCTGCTGTGACTGAGCTGCCCTCTCTGTACTGCATGCATGGTCTCAGCTGATCTCAAAGGCCATTGCTTTGACTGGACCTTTTTTCTGAAAGCACATAACGAAACTGACAAACGTATTACCGATATTGACATATGACTCACGTACCATTATAATCCAATGTTTGAATATACTGAAAAGAGTTGTGCAATCATGACCACAATCAGTTGTAAAGCATTTTTTCATTTTGTGTACTCATTAAGCTCGCCTTTCCCTGCAACCTTCCCTGTTCTAACCCTAAGAAACTATTAATCTAGTTACTGTCTATAGATTTACCTGTGCTGGATTTCATATAAGTCAGTATATTAAGAAAAGTGGTTCTCAACAGTAAATGCCTCACCTACTATTGCAACAATCTCTGTACTTACTCCAGGACAAAAATCATCTAAGTAATTACTTATGATAACCTTAAACAACTACTTTTATGCAAACACACACATTGTATGCTTTCTCACAAACTGCACAAATTCCAAGTCTATCAGTGTTCTGTGTATGCTATGCATGTTACATGCATTATACGGGTGAGCATATTATTTACATGGGCACATCATCTGAACAAAGACAGGGCTTTTCCTCAGTGTCCTCAGAAAACAGAATGCTCTTCACCAAGTACAAGGCAGCCCGTGGCTCATGACCCAGGGGCCAGAGCGTGTGGAGTCCTGGCTTACACAATGGACTGCCAATCACAAGAAGTGCGAAGTGGAGGTTGTCTGCTCCTGCAAGGGTGCAGCTTCGGAAGCCCTAAAGAGAAGCTCTACCTCTCTACCCTGTCCGGTAGCCACGCATGGAAATTGACTCACAAGTAGTGGGGCTTGGCTGCGAGAGGAAAAGGAGATATTCTGCATTGTTTCAGGAAGAAGTGCCAGATAATGAAGCCATTTAACCTAGCGCTTCTACTCCTAGTTACCCGAGAGAAATGAAAACATATGGCCACACAGAAACATGGACACCAATGTCTGCATCAGTGCGATTCTTAATTGTCAAAGGTAGAAACAGACCAAATGTCCACCAGTGGATGAATGGATACAATTGTAATTTATGCATTCAATGAGACATCCATCTATCCTCAAACGAACAAAGCACTGATACATGTTACAACTTACATGGACCTCCAAATATTAAGTGCAGTGAAGGATCCCATATTGTATGAATCCTTCTTTGTGATATAACCAGATAGGCAAATTCACAGAGACAGAAAGGAGAGAATGGTTACTTGATGAGATTCGGACATTTTTTTTCTTTTAAAAATCATTTTATTAGGGGCTCATACAACTCTTATCACAATCCATACACACATCAATTGTGTAAAGCACATTTGTACATTCATTGCCCTCATCATTCTGAAAACATTTGCTCTCCACCTAAGCCCCTGGCATCAGCTCCTCATTTTCCCCTCCCTCCCCGCTTCCCCTCCCTCATGAACCCTTGATAATTTATAAATTATTATGTTGTCATATCTTGCCCTGTCCGGCACCTCCCTTCACCCACTTCTCTGTTGGAGATTTAGACATTTTTGATAGTGATAAAATATTTGCACAACAGTTAATACAATAAATACCACTGAATTATACACTGTAAGTTAACTGTATGTCGTGAACTTCACCTCAATTAAATCTCTATATGAAACTTTTCAAGTTATCTGTGTTGATTTATTCATTTATTAAAATTCTAATTGTGTTCAAGAGGTTCTCACCTGTTTGGTAAGTCCCACAAAAGCCTTGGCGTGTTTCTGATAGTAACCTTCCACAGTTGCCTGCCCATACTGGCCGTTGGTATTTCGACAGTACACCATGTAGTGCAGCTGCGGTGTTGTTAACAAGCCATAATCTGTCACAGAAATATGGAAAGAAATTCACCACGTGAGGAGGAAAAACAAGGTCAACCAGATTCCTCGTCTAGGGATTTCAGCATTACAGCCTTCTTCAAGAACAGAAATCTCAGAAAACACGAAAAGGATCATTTTCAAACTATCTAGATGCTCTCATTATCCATGGAAATCAGTGTAACTGCATGTCACATGCTGAATTCTAGCATCCATATATAATGAGAAGGAAAAAATTAGATAGAAAAGCAATATAGAAAGTAATTCCATTCTGATACACTCCCGAAAAACAAAAATTCTAAGTAAAAGAAAAATATCCTTTAAAAAAAAATTGAAAATCTGCAAGGCTAGCAAAATTCTCGGGCCAAAATCTAGGTGAAAGCAGGAACCCCGGATGTAGGTTACAGGAATCCAGTCTGAGGGCCAGAGCGACTGGACAACAGTATTCAGTAGTTCAAGCTGCGCTCTGAGGGAGAACCTGGAAAGACCAGACTCTTACAAGGCTTAAACTCCACTGGACTCTATCTCACCCCCAGGAAAGGAAACATTTGTGAGGATTAAATGAGAAGAGGCAATTCAGTGGGAGGCTATAATCTAAGTGGATAAAAGTTTAGGCTCGTTTCCTGGACATAAAGAAGGTACTGGTACTGGTGCTCCAGTAGAAGAATGCTTGTCTTCCGTGCAGGAGACCCAGGTTCCATTATGGGCTGATGCCCTCATGTACAACCACCACGCAATGGTCAGCCGTGGCTTCTGGGTTGCTATGATGCTGGAAAAAAGACCTGGTGATCTAATTCCAAAAAGGGGCCACAGAAAACCCAAACCCCATGGATCACAATGGTTGATCCACAACTGAACAGGGAGATCGTGCAGGGCGGAGGGGGGTGGTGGAGGAAAGGGAAGAATGTTATCACCAATACTAAGATTATAAAATGAACATTTAATAAATGACTGTTCTGCCCTGGTGGAGTAGTGGGTTACATTCTGGGCTGCTAACCATAAGGTCGGCAGTTTGAAACCAACATCACACTCTGCAGGAGAAAAGACGTAGCTTTCCACTCCCATGAAGAGTTAGTCTTGGAAACCCACAGGGGCAGTTTGATCCTGTCCTATAGGATCACTGTAACTCAGAATCAACTTGATGGCAGTGAGTTTAGTTTTGAGTTTATTATGCAGAGTTATTCAATAAAAAATATTCAGGTGCTAGACCCAGAAATCTGGAAGAAATTCATTGTAACACTAACTTCATCACACATCACAAAAGCTTTTGAATTCAACTACTTTTCAGTGTTTTCCATTTCTTTTATTATCACTCTTGTTTCAGTCTCCTAGCTGGTCTCTTTTCTGCTTTTACAACGTTCCTGCCCGTTCTTTGAGGAGCCATGGTGACACAGTGCTTCAATACTCAGCTGTCAGCCAGAAGTCAGCACTCTGCACCCACCAGCTGCTCCTCAGAGGAGAGCAATGGCACTTAGCTCCCTTAAAACCGCCTCACTTGAAACCCTGTGGGTAGTTCTCCTAGGACCTATAAGATCTGCCTTAATAAGCCAGAGCCAACTCATGGTGCCAACAACGAATTCTTCCCTACACAACAGGCAGTGGAAACCTTACCTTACTCTTGTGCAAAAACCCTTCAATAGAATCCCACAGCATTTCGAAGAAAACTCCAAATCCTTCCATGACCTCAAAGCCTTCGCATGGCCTGGCCTCTGCTCACTACCATAACCTTATCTTTCACCACTTTCTCTCGGCTGCAGCTGCTCTAACCTTCTTTCATCTCCTGAGGAAACTAAGAAAGGATACTAAAATAAAAGAGCACATATTCTTAAAATTTCCTAGATCCAAACACTAGAAGGAATACCTAGGTTAAAAAACAATTAAGTGTTTGACTCCTAGCTGAAAGGTTGGCAATTTGACCCTACCAGGAGCCATCTTGGAAGACAGGCCTAATGATCTGCTCCCAGGAGTCCCGGCCTGAAAACCCGGATAGGGCAGCTCTCCACTGCACATGTGGGAGGACCCGAGTCAGCATGAACGCAGCAACAACACAACTCTTCAAGCCCACTAACAGTGCTCACCAACGACAAAGGCTTCTCTGTTATTACTCTGGGGCACACCCTTCTTCGATAGAATCCCACAGCATTTAGAATCAAACTCCAAATCCTTCCATGAACTCACTTCCAGAACATGGTCAACACCACCTCCTCTGTGGATGGTAGAAACAGAACTTCAAACCAGTTCTTTCCACCTCAAGTCATGGCTGGTGACGCCTAGCCTGAACCAGAAAGTATGTTGGTGAAATGTGCGAAGACCCAGAGGTAGACACTTAAAGAACACGCTCAAACTGTCTCCAACGGAAAGAACTGAAGGAGAAATTGAAGCCTCAAAATGAGATGTTGAAGGATTCCATAGACTACTGAAGAACGCAGGGAAAAAATCCAAAGATGAAACGATTATTCAGTCACTATCAAAAAGGATTGGTTGAAATTCAACGATTTCAAGAGGTAGCATCTGACCAAGAACCAATGGTACCGATGGCAGAAATTCCAACTGTTCTGAAGGCCTTAACCGAACACCAGGCTCCAGGAACGGCAAGAATAGCAATGAAAATGTTCCAACGAACAAGAAGCACTGGAAGCAAGCGCTGGTCTATACCCAAAATGTGGAATGCAGGGACCTGGTCAATGGACTGGAAGCGATCCATATTTGCACCCATTCTATAGAAAGATGACCCAACAGAATGTGTTAACTATCACAATATCACATATAAGTAAAATTTTGCTGAAGTACATTCAACACAAAAGTATATGAACAAGGTGCTGTCAGAAATTCTACCCTGATTCAGAAGTGGATGTAAACAGAGGCTGTCACTACCGACATCAAATGGACCTTGACTGAAAGCAGAGATACCAGAAAGGTGTCTACTTGTACTATTTTGTTGACTATGTCAGGGTATTCAACAGGGCATTGTGGACCCTAACAAATTACTGATCAATGGAAAAGAATGGGGGTTCCAGAACATGTTATTGTGCTCACGTGGACCTTGTGCACGGACCAGGCGGTCTTTTGAACAGAACAAGAGAATGCTGCATGGTTTCAAATCAAGAAAGGAGTATGTCGTGTTTGTATCCTTTTACCATATTTATTCAACTGCAAACTGAGCAAATAATCTGAAAAGCTGGACTGTATGAAGAATGTGGCATCAGGATTAGGAGGAGACTTATTAGCAAGCCTTGGCATGCACATGAAAATTTTGCATGCTGAAGACAAAGGGTTTGAAGTATCTGTGATGAAACCCAGACTGCAGCCTTCAGCATGGATCCACAGAGATCAGTGCACGTGGAAGCAACAATCAAGAAACCGATGACATACTGCATTGGCTAAGCATGCTACAAAAGACCTCTTTATTAATGTGTTGGAAGTGTACAGATGCCACATTGAAGACTGAGATAGTTAAAGCTTATTGTGTCAACCTGGCCGATAAACACATGTAGTGTTAATTGAAGGGCAGAATGATCCATGGCTCGGTGAGCCTCACCTTTGTAGTTCTCAGGTCTTTTGCTTTCTGATGGTCGGGTCAGGGTGCAACTGCCTTAACCAGTTCCCTGCTTCAGCTTGCAAGCTTCACTTCCTGTAAGACATCCTTGAGAAGCCACATGGACCTACCCCAATGCAGCCCTGGATGCTGGAGCAGCCGTGTGGAGACCCCTGACAGTGCTGAGATGCTTACACGTTCACTGATTTGACTTTCCTCCTGCAGTCGGCATTATTGCGTGTGTTTTGTGAGATGGAGGAGGACTTTGTGGATTGGTGTCAGACATATGGGTTAATGTTGGACTTGTGGGCTTGGGCAGCACTGGGTTTGGATGTTTTCTTGATGTGCACTTTCCCTTTATACAAAACTCTCTTATACATGATTTTCTGTGGATTTGTTTCTCTAATGTACCCAGACTAACACAAGAACTAACATGCACCTGACAGAAGCCATACTATTTTCAACCATCTCATAATATATAAAGTTACCTCGTAAGGAAAGCTGCAGAAAAATTGATACATTTGAATTAAAGTATTGGCAAATATTGAAAGTTCCAGTGACTACCAAAAGAACAAACAAATGGGTTTTGGAAGAAGTATAGCCACAATGCTCCTTAGAAGTGAACATGGTCAAGACTTCCCTCTCAGGTACCCTGTATACTCAAGTATAAGCTGACTCGAATATCAGCCGAGGCACCTAATTTCACCACAAAAAAATGCATTAAAAATGTGCTGAAAAACTTGACTTATACACAAGTATATACTTGTGTATATCCTTTGGCTATATTACCAGGAGAGGCTGAACTCTGGAAAAGGACAGCATGCTTGGAAAAGTAGAGGGTCAAGAACAAAGGGAAGAATTGCAACAAGATGCATGGCCACCGTGGCTGCAACAACAGGCTCACACAACAGAGGCCGGCAGAGGATCAAGTGTGTGGCATTCTGTTATACACAGGGTTGCTATCAGTTGGAACCAACTTGATGGCACCTAACAATTACACCGGAACAATAACCTGAATGGGCAAAAGTATGGGTCATCATCCTGCAAGAAACTGAATTTCCCTCTTAGCGAACCACGGCGAAGTGCGCACTTCCCAGCAAACACTGTCTTCACGGACAGAGGCACAGGTAGCACCTCCTGCGCCGCTGCTTCGAATGTGAGTTCCTCTCCTGAGTCCTGCCAGGAGCCCTTCCTCCTGCCCCAGACTCCGGAAGAGGCTCACACACCTCTCCCGAGTCTGCACTCTAGGGCTTCAGACTAGTATTTCACATTCCACTAAGCCCGTATTTTACACACGTGGGTCTAGTCCAATTCCACTGCATCGGCCATGACTGAACGTGCACAAGGCCCTGGTAGAAAGAATTTAGTTGGGGCAGGTTTAACCGAGGGAGGGTGGGTCAACTAAGTGGAGATCAGCACCTGGATCAGTGCCCTACAAATCACAAGAGTGAGCCCACTAGCAGATCCCTTAGTGAGACTACACCAACAAAGCAAACACAAACAAAACAGTTGCTGTCAACACAGAGATCAATCAAATCATTGTTATCAATTCTGCCCTTCCCCCACCCCCCAAATCTGTTCCATTTGTTTGACACCAACTACAAAGGCAGCACTGTTCCTCTGACCAAAACCACTGGGTGCGGAGTTAGATATCACATGTTCTACGTCCTCCAGACTGCCAAGCCCACCCAGACCTCAGATGGCCATTCCAAGCTTGAAGCTCCCAGAACCCTACCCCATAGAATTTACTGGCTACAAACTTTGGGGGTTTTCCACCATCCCAACAGCACCTAAGCAAACAGCCCTAAGGACACTGGCCCAAGTTTATAAGGATGATTACAAATTTAAATACCAAAACCACACTTGAGTCAATGCAAACTCATAGTGACAGACTAGAACTGACTCAGAGGGTTTTCAAGACTGCCAAGTTTGACAGGGGCAGACAGTTTAATTTGGCTTTCTGAAGCTCCCTCATCTAAGTCCATGACTACCCAGGCCCTTACTAGGGACCAGCTGTCCCCACTCTGCTGCTCTGGGTTTCCCTAAGACCACTCAAACTTCAGGGAAAGTGTTACACATGTACTTCTGATTCCATTTTTGTGACAACAGAAAAGCTATGAATGGAGAGAGGCACCGAGGAAGGTCCGGGGAGGTTCCCGAGGCTGAGCTTTCAAGTCTTCAAAAAGGAAGTACTACCTCCTACTCTGCCCTGCATCCTGTTTCACAAACTAGGAAGCCCACCGAGACTCAGCAAGCAGCGCCTTGGTTGGAGCCCCATCGAGCAGGCACACCTGACGCACAGCCCCTCCTCCCTGCGCTCAGCTGATGTCACTTAGAGGTCTTACCGGCTAGGCAGTCCCATGCTATCACCTCATTGGCATGACTAGCATCATCTGTCACATTAGATGTGGCTTGAAGCAAGGTTTTAGAGGCCTGACAGTTAATTTTTATACATATAACTTTTTACAAACAGTATATATTATTTATAAAAAATTTTAAGTTTTTTAAAAAGATTTTTTAACTTAAATCTCAGGATAACTACTTACCATGGAATTGACCTCCCAACACAGTCACACCATGTATTACAGACTGTGAAAGTTTCTCACTGCTGGGCCTAATGAAGAAAATAAAACCACCTATAAAGTTGCTTGTTCTGAGAGCAAATGTAGACAAGAACTGCCAATTTCAGCATAATACGCATTTTAACTGAGAGCTATAAACTCTGAAAAACCCAGGGCTGCTAAGCCGATTCTGACCCATAGAGACTCTACAGCACAGAGTAAATTTCCCCACTGCTTATCTTTACAGAAACAGACTCATTTTTCTCCCACAGAGCAGCCAGGTTTGAATTGCCAACCTTTTGGTTAGCAGCCAAGCCCTCGACCACAGCCACTCAGGGCTCCCGTAAATTCTGAAAACATACAGGTAAATTCGAAGCCTTTTCTAGTAACTTTCAGAATGTACTTCTTGAAGATATTTTTGGCTTTCAAATGTACTTAGAAAATAGATATAAAAGGGAAAGTACATTAACACCCTCATCTCAAAATACCTCTCCTCCACAAGTCTGACCAAAACATATTGTCAAAGAACAATTACAAATGCTAAACTATGCATAATCGAATGCTAAATCACCACAAATACAGAGCAACTTTTCATTTTTAAATGTCCGAAAAAAAGACAGGCACACCTCCCATTACTCTGCACTGCAATTTATTGTGCTTTGCAGATAGTCTGTTTTCACAAATTGTCAGTCAGCGTCAACTCCGTGTGGAGCAAGTCTCCCGGAGGCATCTCCTGACGGCACGTGCACTTCATGTCTGTGCCAGCTTTAGCCACCCTCAAAATACTTCAGCTTTCCTCAGAATGCTATTGTCCACTTACTAGATGTTAGCATAGTGTGAATCCAGCTTGAATGTGCATTAGGAAACTACAAAATTCGTATGGCTCCCTTTATTGCAGTATTTGTTCTACGGTGGTGATCTAGAAAAGAATTTGTGGTATTTCTGATACAGGTATGCCTGTATTTCTGTACCTAAAAAATAAAGTACATTACATAACTGCCTTATAGAAAAGGATGGCTATACTGTTGAGATTGACTAAGCGGTGAAACCCACATGCGTGTGGGAGCGCTTCACGGGGGCTAGTGGAGTCACGAGGCTATTTCTGCTCCCTGAGAATCTGCAGTCATTGGTACCTGAGACCATGCTGATACCACAATAAACAAGTTTTAAAAGTGCAAGCATTTGGGAATTGAATGGAAATTTCATTTTGGAAGAATTTTGGAATGAAACAGACCTCACGCAAAAGGAAATATTCGTCTCACACTTGAAAGGAAAAAAGCTACCATATACACCAAATGTGTAGAAAGCAATATACCTTGTTACTATTTTTCAGTGAACTCCCGGATGGGAAAATGGTATAAATATTTGAGTAATAATCTCAACTTAAATGACCAGAATCAATTCTGACTCACAGTAATCCTCTAGGACAGGGTAGAATTGCCCCTGTTGGTTTCTGAGACTTTCCAAGAGTAGATCTTTCTGAGCATAGAACTTTGTGGGGGTAGAAAACCTCATTTCTCTCACCAGGAGCAGCTGGGGAGTTCAAACTGCTAATCTTGGAGTTAGCAGCCTAAAGCGTACCTGATTGCACTACCAGGGCTTCACTGGTGGACTTCAGAAATTAGCCAATTTCACCACATCAAAAGAATAATTAAAATGATACATTCCTAGAGCCAGTGGCACATGTACTTGCTCTAGAGAACAACAAAGCTACTTGGCTGTGGCACAGTTACTGTGTTCCTCGCTCATGTCAGAAAGTAGGTGTTTTGCATACATTGATTTCATCCTCACAAAAACCTTGTGATAGGACCTTATCCACAATTTACCAATGGAGAAATGGAGGTCCAAAAGCTCAAATCATATATTATTATATTGGGATTCCAACCAGAGTCTGATTCTAAAACCCACCCTGCGATAGCAACTTACCATATATACTCGAGTATAAGCCGACCTGAATAGAGCCGAGGCACCTAAATTTTACCACAGAAACTGCATTAAAAAATGAGCTGAAAACTCAGCTTATACACAAGTATATACGGTACTCCTGTTGTAAACTGCCCTGGAATGATTTCAGTAGATGGAGCCCCTATTGTTGAATTGTCCAACAATCTAGGCAGGCACCGGCTTACTTGTGCTTTCTTACTGATCTGGAGTGAACATTTCACATCCTCCCACCCGCACCACATCAAAGATTTCTAAAGTAGATGTGACCATTCATGTTGCTTGTCCCAGGCTCACCTGGTATCTCTCCCAATGACTACGAAAGCATCTTGCAGCAAATCCACTGCTTCTTTCTCACTGATGTCAGTCAGCGCTCTCTGCATATCCTGCTCCTCGACGTTTGCCAAACAGGTAGCGTGTTCTTCCCACGTTGGTGCCAACATTTCACCCAAAGGATCAACCAATTTCACACCATTATCTTCCTTAAAAGGAAAAGGACAATAAGCAACCTGTGCATATTCCCGAGTGATGAGTTAAAGAACTCAAACTGTTTTTCCCCAACAAAACATACTGATGGCAATGCAACTTCAACAAGGACGACTGATCGAAAACCACAAGCTAAACTGGATAGTGTATACACATTATCTCGTGATGCGCTGCAATCTTACTATGAGAAAATTGGTAAGATAGGTCATTTGTTTATCATGTCCACATAGCTAGAATCAGTGCTGATATCAAAAGTCTACCTGACTTTTAAATCTAACACCCATCTGCTACACTGGCACTCACTCACACTCAATGACCTGACCAGGACACAACTGGAGTAGACTGATGGTACCGAGAGCGCCTTCTTCCTAGAACTGATTCTATGCAAAGCCTGTCAACTAGTGGCTGTCTCAGAAGCTGAAACCAGACTCCCAACTCTGTTTTGCTCAAATTCCTGGAAAGAAAGTACTGCTACGAGCGGATGTCAACAGTAGGAAACCGTGCAGAGAGCAGTTCTCAGCTAAGTGCTTATTTCTTGAACAAATCTGGGGTAACTTCCTACAAGTCACCCATCAACTGTGGTGATTTGATATGTTTCCTGAGGACGCAACTTTGAATTGGAGGAGCCGTGTCTTCTGGTTCATGAGACGGCAGAGGTTACAATCCTTCACTGGCCTACATTGCTTTAACTTCTGGTTAATTTCACTAAAAAGATAAAAATCAAATACCCAAGCACCACACAGAAGCGTGTTACTAAAGCCATGTAGTAGTGAGCTACAGGCAGTACAAGACAAACTACTTTATTGTAAACATGTTAAGAAAATGAGGCACAGTAGGCCTCATCAACATTCTGCCCCACACTCGAAGTTGGATCCCTGGAGTCACTTGTTTGGCTGCTCATTCAGCCAGGCCTGTTACTCATTATCTACACAAAACTCACCTGGAAGCATTCCAAATGTGTTCCCTCCCAGCTCCTGCCCTCAATTTCTTTCCTTACTTCTAAGTTGTATCATGATCCTGGAAGCACATTCTGTTATTCCTCTACTATGGGCACTCTCCAAAAAAATGACAGTGTGTCATTTCTTTCTCTCCACACCCTAAGGAGTCATGAATGTTCAATGACCACTGTACTAAGGAAAAAGTTGTTCCAAATCTAGGAGCACATCCTAATGAGGAAATGCATTCCCAGAATTGGACTTCGCACTGTAGGTCAAACAGTTGGCAGTACTCAATGCATTACCTCCGGATTGTGTGAGGCGGTGACCATGATTCCTATCGTCGATTTCGTCTGTCTTGACCTCAGCGCTGCCAATAGGCCCATGCGAAACATGACGTGATCAAGATGCTCCGCCTTCGTGCGAAACCCAGCCGTTCCATATTGAAGAAGGAGTCCATTGGGCTTGGCGTGTAATGTGGAATATTTTGTAATTGCGTCCAAGTCCATGTCTACAAAATTATACACAACTTTCAAATGATTTTTGCTTCAAGAGCGGCCGTAACAGGTCGGCAACATTCTGAGGCTCCCCAAAGGGTGTGTTTGAGAGAGCAAGTAAGGGTAGTAGAATAAGTTGCCAATGATGCTATAAGTCAAGGTAGAAAGACTTACCAAAATGATTTGGCTAGTATTCTGAGAATCTAAGATACATTATTACACTTAAGCAATTTGCAAGTACATTTGCCATGATTCATTCTATAAATAAAACAGACAATCCACAGTTATTAAGGACTCTGTGTGGTCTGTAAAGGAGGAGGTTCCCGGGGTAGGGGGGCGACCTGACCCACTGATCGCAACGGAGGCTCAGTGGCGGGTGGGTGTGTCAGGTGCTCTGGGCTAGCTTTGCCAGCTGGCCAGGGTCAACCAAAATTCGACCAACCGGGTTTCCCCTCAACGCCACGATTCCAGGGTTTCCAGCGTCAGGGTGCACCCCCACCTGCAGCCCCGTCCCCCGCTTACCTTTCAGAACTGTCTCCAGCCTGCTCCGCGCGGGGAATCCAACTCAGACTTCTCCGACGTGGCCTCGCACTGCTTCCGCCCGGCCGGGCTTATCGCCCAATCACGGCAGTGGGCGGGACCCTGACCCCGCCCACGCCCGCCGTCAGTGACGCGCCGGGCGCGCCTGCGGAACGCGGTTCCGGGTCTAAGCCGACTTGCAGCTGTATTCCATTGAAAGGCCGCGAGGGCGAGGCGGAGATGTACCGTGGGCCCGGGGAGGGCTGCGAGGATGGCGCGCCTGCCCACGCTGCCTCCCAGCCCGGGCCTCGGGGCAGCAGGCGCCCTGTTTCCTGGGAGGCCGGGATTCCTCGTTGGCCTGGATGGAGATAAGAGCCCCGATTTGGGGTCACGGCCGCTAAGAGCGCCAGCCGGCTTTCCACACCACGCATCTGCCGAACCTCTCACTTCGCAAAGCTTTACTGAGCTTGCAACAAAGGTCACTTTACTTGCTTTCGTCCCCTCTTCTAAGAAGCCCTGCGGGCCCGCTCCTATCTGGGCGTTGGAGGCGGCGGCGGGCGCGACCCAGCCGCCCAGACCTGGGATTCCGGTGGGATTGTACCCGGCTCCTTCCTGGCCGTTCTCAGAGCCCCGGCTTGCAGGCCGTCTGCCAGGACTGTGTGCCCCCCACACACCCCCCACACACACACCAAAAAACAACCCCGTTGCCTCGTTGATTCCTATCGGACCGCATGCAAGTTAGAAACCCAGTTAAGTGTAGATTCTTTTCTTCTGAAGCAGTGGCAAGGCCCGCCTGTTTGCGGCTTGGTTCAAGCGCAGGTCAGCAGTTTGAACGCAGCAGTGTTAGGTTTCTCAGGTTGGAAATTCCTTGGTTCTTGGCTTCACACGAGAAAGAATCCAGACAGAAGTTTCAGGTTTTACAATTACCGAACACCGGCAACTTCACGGGACTGCACCCCCACATTTGGCGGCCTGAGGCCAGAGAGAGACCTTGGCAGGGCCGAGCAGAGAAGCAGCCAAAGGGAAAGAAGGCAGGCGTGTCCAGGTTCTGGCCTTTAAGGCCTTCAGCTGGGAGGCGTGGTTGACACCTGGCTTAGTTTTGGCCAACCCAGGTTACTGCCCACTTGGCTCAGGCTTGAATTGGCACAAGGCCCTTAGCCTTTATTGACCTCCAGCTTCCTATAGGGAGCCTTGGTGGGTGCAAGAACAACCCCTGGTTCCTATTTCTAGCAACCTAACAGGAGCAAGCAAAAGATTCTGGAAGGGGTTACAACTGAGAACCCTTATGGGCGGTAATACCCTTCCCTATAGGGTTGATGGCAACGGAGTTGGTTTGGGTTTGGAGACTGGGAATCTGACCCTTTTAACCAAAGTAAGAGGGTCTCAGATGATGCCTGTGATACTGGATTTTGGAGTCAGGAGATAATGTGAGAGTTAACTGCCCCCAACTTGTTCCCGTAGCTCATGCTGCAAAACACTCCAATCGATGTGCTTCCAAGAAAGTAAAAGGTACCTTCCAGAAACTTCGCTGGACACCGCTTAGGTCGACAAACCCAGTACCCCTGGGACCTTCCCAGGTTTCTGGGAAGGAGGATTCCAAACAGCATGTCTGCTTCAGCGAAAAGAATGCTTTCAGCTTCAGTGCTGGAGATGGAAGTGTTTCCCATGTTTCCTAACCATGGTGAAGTAAGCCTTGAAGATGTCAATGCCCTGATGCATACAAAGAGATACTTGGAAGGCAAAAGGGAGACACCACCACCCAAAATTGAATTTGTGGTCACTCTCCAGATTGAGGAGCCCAAGGTGGGTGCCCTGAAGTGTTTTAAACATTGCCAGATTTTTAAAAGCAACACCCGCAGCTGGAGCTTCCTGGCTAGGAGACAAAACAAGGATGTTCCAGGTGTATAGTATTTCTCTCACATGTTTGAAAGCAAAATAAACTCTTTCTCCCACTTTTCAAGAAACAAAAGGTGCAAGATGTAAAACATGAGATGACCTGTAAAATATTTTCAATAAATACTCTGAATTTTATATAAACTTTAAAAAGCACTGTCACCAAGTCCGTTCCTACTGATAGCCCTCCTACAGGACTGCCCCTATGGATTTCTTTGACTGTAAATCTACATGAGCAAAAAACACCTTTCTCCCTCTGAGCAGCCTGCTAGTGGGTTCACCTGCTGACTGCCCAATGTGCAACCCACTCTGCTACCAAGTTTCCTGTATGTAAATATGTGTGTTGGGATCAAAGATGCCTAGCGTTCTTTGTTAAAACATCATACAGTCTTATTAGATGCCATGGAGTCATTTCTGCCTTACAGCCTCTCTCTATACATTGCCCAGTCCTGTGCCAGTCTCATAATTATGTTTTTGAGCCCATTGTTGCAGCCACTGTTAATTTTTGACAGTCTTCCCCCCTTTTTCCCCTGTGGCCCCTTATTAAGCATGCCCTTTTTCGGGGACTGGTCTCTCCTGAAAACATGTCCAAAATACATCTGATGAGGTCTCCCTATCCTTCTAAGAAACATTCTGGTTGTGCTTCGTTGTTTGTTCTTTCGGCAGTTGTGGTCCTTTCGATGATCTTCACCATAGACATTGCTACTCTGCTCACACATCTGGTTGCTGTCCATTCCACTCGTCGTGTGGACTACCTTGTAATTTTCACATGTTTAAATGTTGGCATTTACAAAACTGGGTTTTAGGGAGTGAATGCATGTGTCTTTTGTGGTTCCATAGCACAACTTGTACTAGCAAACAAACAACTGTGAAATCCGCACACTAAAAATTAATCTTCACTCAGCTTCATTTGATTCTTTGTTCCAGCAACATTAGCCTAACAGAGGCACCATGTGGACTGGATATTTGATATCACCTGTCTGCCTATTTTATTCCCTGGGAGTCCCGGTAGAATGTTGGGTTACTAACTGCAAGGTTGGCAGTTTGGAGCCCTCAGCCACTCCAAGGGAGAAAAATGCTGTTTCTCCCCCGGAGTCATAGTCCTGAATGCCTACAGGGGCAGTTCTGCCTGTCCTACAGGGTCATTATGGGTCAAAATCAATTCAATGGCAGTGAGTTGGGTGTGTTTCTTGTTTTGGTCAAATGACCATTAGAAATGTTTATTAAACAGTATTAGGTGTCCTTTGATGCAAGTAAATTTTCCAAGGCTAACTGGTTCCAATAGGAGTAAATAAGCTGACTTCCTTAAGAATTAAACTAGACAGACACTAAGAAATGTTATAGGTGCTAAACCTTATGTTCATAAATCTTTATTCTTTTTATGTGAAAGCGTGCACTAAAAGTGAGTGTCCATTAAAATACTTGTCATCCAGACTCCCATGGTCGGGGGTGCTACTCAATAAAAGGCCCTGGGGTAAAAAGATGAGAACTGGCCTATAGAGAAGTAGAGGATTTTGGTTTTGACCTATTTCCTATTTAACTTCTCCTTTATCATTCCCTCGGGTGCCTTTCCAGTTCCCAGAGTGGATTCAGTGCAGCTAATTAAAATGCATATCCATGGAGCTTTGTGCCTTTCCGTGGTAGTACTTCTACGGAACGAAATCCTTTACGGGTACAATTATTTGCCTACTTTCTGCCTCTACCAGGCTGTCGCTTCGTGGAAGGCACTGACCAGCTTCTTCACATCATTATCTCAGTATAGGTGTTTGGCATGTTGTAGGTATTCAGTGAGTATTTGAAAGAATGACTGTATAAATGGAAGGACATGTTTTTATCATAGATTCCCCCATTTTAGTCTTTTCAGAAAAAAATATTACTCAGCACCCCTCTAGCAATGAAACACTTTTTGTTCTATAGCCCACAATCAAGGATAAAGTGTAGGTATCTGCTTTTGCAGCACCCCTGGATTGTTGCAGCAGCCCTTCCACCCCCCACCCCCCACCAGGGGCAGTACTGTCCACTTGAGAAATACTGGTTTATATAAAGTACTTAGTACAGTGTCTGGCATATAGCTAACACTTAATAGTAGCAGTAACTATTAACATTGATCAGAAGCATTTGCATATGTGATTTTAAGATGTTTAAAAATTTGATTTTTATTTTAAGGTAGAAATTTATTTACCATAACCATGCGCCACAGCCACCCCTCCGTAGCCCTCCAGCTGTTTGGGTGGTCATCGGCACTTGACAGACACCAGCAGCTACTCCTCAATAAAAGCCTCGCTTTTTTTTTTT